AATAAACAAAACGTGTTGCACAATGCTTGCACACTGTTGCACTTCTATCCCAAGCTTTCTTTCCGCCGTCATCGTAGGTCACTCTAAAAGCAAAGTGGTCCCATACAGCAGACCTATAAAGTGCTGCTGGCGCGTCTTCCAACTCCTGTTCTTTCCCACTCGCCATACCCACACAATTCTCCACAACAACTGATTTTTTCCTGCTATACCCGGCTACGCTGCTTTTGGTCGCTGCTTTGGTCGCAGTACCGCCACCTTCTGCTCTGGAGTGTAAACGCTTCGCCTATGAGAAAAAGGAGCAGCACGCGAACCGAACCAAGACAGTCGACTCGAACGGTTCGGACGTTTCTTTTAATAAACCGTTCCATCCCTACTAGTGTGCAGTACCGTATATCGCCACCAGACCATGAGAACAGAGCGGAGCACGGTGCAATTCCCGCTCCCCGCTCAGGAGGATGTTCCCTCATTCGCTCCGCCACTAAAGTCGCGCCAGGACGCTCTGCTCAAAATCAGCTCCGCACTCACCTTCATTTTCCTGCCGCTCCCACGAAATCGCTCCACGCTCGCTCCAATTTTCAGGAGACGGCATTTTCTGACATTTTTCCTTCCTGTAATGATTCCAGGGCCCTGAGACACACGGCGTTTGATCTAATAATGTGACCGATACGCGTGGATTTCTGCGATAATTTAACAGGCTGTTAAACTGGAAGAGAGAGGATTTGCCATCGAACTTCTGGCCAATTCAGTTTATTTCTATAAACCTTTTTCTAAGGAGAACCAGCTGATTGCATCGACTCATTGACTCTTCAGCAATCCCTCACACTAAGCATGCTTGTAGCGACAGTGGAGAGGAAAAACTCCCTTTGAACAGGAAGAAACCTCCAGCAGAACCAGGCCAGAGAAAAAACCCGTAATATGTAGCCAACATTTGGAAGAAGAATGTTTTCAAGATGACTTGGATAATAGCGCGTTGTGACAAACACCAGATACAGCACTGGGACTTGATCAACAGCCGATACCGCACCGTGACGTCACTAACCAGTAGGTGGCAGTAGTGTTCTTTGACAAACATGGATGCCTCCAGTAAAGCACATTCACATGAAAATGACTCTGAATTAAAAACACTGATCATTTATTGAACAGGATGGAATCATTTCAGATTTAAAGAACTTTCAGAAGTTTGGATTATAATTTGTCCCTCTGTGTTTAATGAATGAATTTGATTTACAGGTTCCAGTTCTACGTGACCAGCACCTGTGTGGTTCAGAAATAAAACACTCAGCTGTAACGGAAGGAAGAGCAAACCCACATGTTTCTCTAAAGCTTTTTGATTTGTCCACAAACTGGAGCTGTAAGCAGCCAGATGTGCAGCGTAGGGCGGCGATGCTGAGCCGTCTGAGGGTTTAGCTTCAATCTAAACTGATGGAGACTTTATGACAACGTTTCTTAGAACAGCTGGTGTGGCTCAGGAGTCTGGATACGCTGCTGATGGTACGTCCTGTTCAGCCTGCCTATCAGTTTCCTGTTGCCTTTCTGCAGGAAGTTGCTGTGGTGGGTGAAGCTTTTTTCTGCTGAGTTCTCACACCTTTCTGTAAGTGATGCTATGAGGTTACTGCTGCTAACAGAAAAACTGCTGCAACGAAAGAAACGGCTCGCCCTGAATCAAACTGAATAATGTCTCATATTGTTGTTTGAATACCCCAGGCATTATTTTAATTATTTACTAAACAGTTTAAAAATATCCTGCTTTTAGGTCAGAAACTTCTTTGGCTCCCTCCTCAGGACAAAAAGGTTACTACAACCTCGGATGTGAACCATTACAGATTTAAAAACCCGTCTAAACCCGGGAATAATTGGCTTTTAGAGACAGTGGGAACAGCTCACTGACGACTGTCTACCCGAGTCAAACAACTTGGCAAGCGACCCACGTTGAAATGTCCTCGGCTCTGATCGCTATCGGCCCGCTAAATTACGTGATACCATCGAACTTTACATTCGATAAACATGGAGCAGCTCTGGTGAGAGGGATTCAGACACATAATAGAGAGAAACAATTACACACTGGCTTCCTTACATTATACTCTCCATTGTTTACTTCCCTGATTTCTATCGTAACTGGTGACATCATCACGCTAACGCAGCGTGATGGCATCATCAGGCTCGCAGCTGCCAGCGAGGGGTTAGACCAGCTTTATTTGCCAATATGAAGGGAACCAAATGCTGATTGTCAACCCATGTTTGAAAAACACGCGTTGATGCGCTAATATCAGGGGTAAAGAGGCTGAAGTAAAGTCAGCGGCTCTTCCCCGGGCATCTGCTCTCTGCTTACACACGGTGATTCACTTAGGGAAAGAAAAAAATGTAATTCAAGCCTTTCTAATGGAAAATAATTATTTTTTTCTCATTCTAACATTATCAAATTCTTTAAAACTGGATAAAAACAATCTGCATCATCTTTCCAGCCTTAATTAGTGAAATGACACCAGTTCTGCGTCAATCGATCAAATGATCTAAAAGCTATTGGAAAAAAAAACATACATTTTGAATAGAAAAATGATTAAGAAATGGAAAATGATTCACAGGACATTAAAGTAACTGTTTCCTGTTTATCTAGAGCGAAG